TGCCAGTTTTCTTTTCCTCCCATCACCCCATTTACCCATCTCCGTCTCTTTCTCCTTCTGGCCTACCCAGTCCTCGAGCACCTCCTCCGAACACGGACATATCAACACGCCACCAGGAGGACCAGCAGTAGTACACCGCCGAGCACAGTACCCAATCACCCCAGTACCCCAGCCGATCACGCCGAGTGCCCATTCCTTCACGTCCTCTTCACTTTCCTTCCATTCGCTAACTCACTTCACTCACTCACCCATCGCCTTATTAGTCGACCAAACACCTATTCCCTCACCCAAGCACCTCAACATGACCTCTTTGTCTTTCTACAAACTCTTCGGTTCGCTCTCCCTTCTGTTGATCATCTTGCATGCCCACGCCGACCACCTACTTCTCACACACCCTCAAGACGATGGGCATTGAGACGCGCACCTACGGCTACTGTGCCCACAAATTGCAGGGCTTCCCGCAAGACTCACTCATTATCAACATTACCAGTGAGAACTTCAACCCGAAGCTCGCCTTTGATGCACTGACGGTTGTTCGCTGACGATACTACAAGAAGGAGGGCATCAAGAATGACTAGACTGCTGTGTGGTACCAAACACACATCTCAAACACTACAAGACCATTGCTTTTTCTTCTTCTCCTCCTTCACTAGCTTCACACTTTACACTGTTTCACATGTTAAATAAATAAATCCTTAATCATGAATTCAAGTTGTGTCTAACTAGTGCCTGGTCATCAAACTACGACCGAAAAAACGAAGTAGTTTGCTAAAAAACACAAACCAAACTTTAAACGACTCGTAAACGAATGAACAAATTAGTAATGGTTTATTATAGAAAATAATTTTTATTAAAAATCACATGAGAGACACATTGGGGGCAAAGAGGTACTTTTACAAGAAGGCGACCGCATCAGCTTGCATAGACAAGACGATCGTCTTTAGTGGATACTTTGCGGAGAGTTTTCCCAGGCTTGTGGCTAAAAAGATTCGCGCATCGGCAATGTCCTCCATCGGGTCCAGTTGCTTTCGGCCGGTGTGGGTAGCCGGCTGCGAGTAGCTGGCCTGGTAACCGGCGGCTTTTTCAATCTCCACAAAGTGCTCAGCACCTTCTGTCGATTCATCTTCAGGCAGCGCAAAGACGGACACCAGAGCCGGCAGTAGAGGCGCCCACAGAGCGTTCATGTTGGTGTTGGTGAAAAAGACGTCGAGCTCCGTGAGCAGTTTGGTGATGCCAACCGCAAGCGTCTTGCGATCGGTGCTGCCCAGCACCTTCTGTGCATCGACGATAAACAGCTTCTCAACGACCATGACAAACATGTTTGTCTGAATGGACTCGATCATGTCATAAAAAGTCTGCGCTCCGTACTTGTAGGTGAAAATGGAGAAAAAGATGAGCAACGATCGGGTGTACTTGATCGTCCTTGAGGCGGTGAGTCGTTGAAAGAGGAGGAAAAAGATTGGCTTCAAAAAAGGGCTCATGGCAGATTGGTCTGCAAAGAGAACCAGATAGTTGAGTAGATTAAAGCCCTGGTGATCGCTCATTCGAAAGGCAATGAGTTTCTGAAAGACGCCAAGCATGGGCTCCAGCTTTCCCATGCTGATAATTTTAGGGCAGCAGTTGCGAACATATGCCTGAAGAAGGCGAACCAGAGGCGCATGGTGGCTTTTCCCACAGAGGGGGCATCAAAAGAAAGGAAAAGAGTTCCATGTATTGCTCGGGAACTGTCATTGAAGAGCCGCCCTGAACCGGCTGGTACTGCTCAAGAAAGAGGGATAATATCTGGAAAACGTAGAGCATAAATTCGACCACCTCCTGAACAAGAATATTCGTAAAGATGGGAAAGAATAGTGGCTCAAAGCTGGACACTGCAGATAGGTTGTTGGTGCAGGCAATTTTGATAGACAGGCCGACCACTTCAAAGATGTAGTGGTTAAAATGCGGTTTCGTTGGTTTTTTTGCCACTTCGGTTAGCTTTTCCACAATCTTAGGAAGCAGATCATTAAAGTAGGACAACACCTGTTAGCGAAGTAAACTAAAAAGGCGCAGCAGAACCTTAATGGCAAATTTATTTTCTGCCGACCCAGGAAACTGGAAAACGTTCCAGTAAAAAGGAGGCCGAGAATGAGCGACTGGGCGAATGGTTCCACTTCATCGGCATTGACCAGTGGCAGTAGTTTGTTGTTGGGACTACGCATTGTCAGCAGCTTTTCAATGCAGTTTGCCGCATAACTGTGAATGACAGTCACCGGAGAGGAAAGGTGGCAAATGAGTTGAGGCATTATGGACAGCCAAGTCTCTTTCCGAAATTGAGAGAGAGAGAGAGAGAGAGAGAGAGAGAGAGAGCAACTTGTGGTGAGCAAGGAACGACTCGCTGACTCACTGACTCTTCCAGCGCAGTGCAGCTAGTACAGCACAAACACATACTCCGCCACTGTCATCAACAGTTTGGAGGAGATGATGATGAGCAGACAACGGTGCACTACCACTTCAGATGGTCGCTGA